CTTTACAAAATCTTTTCACAATATCAGGATGTGAGTCTAAATAAAATTCTGTCCAGCCTATCCTGTCTGACTCATTCTGTGATGCCATGGTCAGTACAGTTGCTGAGCACCTGGAGAGCTGTAATGGCTCAAACAATGAACTACAACCCCTCTCCCCACATCAGGAAGATAATGAAGAACAAAGCTCATGAGCAACAAAACTTTTTTTTTTTTTTTTTTTTTTTTTAATGTAAAGTACTATTTTGCTTTTATTTCTCTCCTTGAGCAGAAATAGGGCATTACTAACCACTTCCTTCACCTTCTCAAATGTTCACATCAGAAGAAAAGGGTCATTTAAATAGCTTTGGAAGACTTCAGCTTCCAGCAAAGCTACTCTGGAGCAAAGATCAGAATAATAGTGAGAATAGTGGAGCAGCAAGCACATTTGTAAGACGCTGAATGCTGCAGGAGCTGCCCTCAGTTAGGTGCCTAACAGGAAAGCTGTGTATACATGTGGCTTTTGCTTTGAGGCACCCTACAGGAGGAAGCCAATAAGAGTGCTTATCTTGATGTTCAGAGAACACCTGAGATGCTTTAGATAAGGAAACCTACTGTGGAGAGGCACAAAGCTTAACAGCTCCACTGTTTTCTACAGTGGCCTGGATTACTTTTTCAGGAATACAAGTCACTTCTAAACCTAACCTCTAAATCCATTTCCAAAACAACACAGCCACCTCCCAGCAGAAGTAACAGAACCAGCTGCCTGCCTGTTAAATTCTGTCACCTGATAGAAACTTGCTTTCCATGACGTTGCTCCACAACCACAAACCTGCATCCACTTGTAAGAACTGTTGCAGCTACCGCTGAGGCTAGGCCTGTCTCCTTTTAATTATGTAAATTTGCATAATTCTGGAAATCTGTATTTGAAACATTATTCTGTTTCCCACAATTCTTAGCTCTAACTTTTACATTCTGGCACTGCCTTAACCATTGAAAACAGCAGTGAACATCTGCCAGACAGCTGTCTTTTAAATACTGGGGGATTTGTAGGAATGAGTAATGATGATCAAGTGACCAGAATACTCCTTCCAAAAGCAGTGAGCACGTGTAAACGTATCTTACAAAATCACTGCTGACTTTGAGCAGTGTTAGGTCCCATATGATTTTGCTTTATTCCCGTGGGGCATCTGAGCAGTTAGCAGCCCCTGTACGGGCTGAACCACAGAAGTGCCTCTAATTTTCTACTAATATTTCTTCTGAATTTCCTGTTTGTTTAGTGATATCTAGACCAACAGTTTGAACACCCCTCTGGTTATATTCAATTTGCTGGTATTGAAAACAACACCACCACCACTCTTTAAAATTGTTATTATCACTGAAGCCCTCCATAATCTCTCAGTAAACAAAAATTCTCAGAAGTCATCCACAAATGCAAACCTTCACCTTTTAAGACCTGAAAGGAGCATTTATGCACATTCCTCTTTTAAATCCTGCAGCCTCCATTATCCTTTTTTTCTTGCTTCCATAATTTTTAGTCTACATTATTTGTTTCATACTGAAATTTCAGTTTCTATCAACAGATTCTCCCATCATCCTGCCTTGAAATCCATCCCACAGCTACTTCATGGACAACATCTCTGAAGGCTAAGTACCATACATCTCCATCCAGACTCAGGCCTCGTTCTTGCATTATAGTGCTTCTAGGCCCCTTTGCAGACTAGTATGGTTTTTATTATCTACTGCACCAGCTATTTCTGGCAGGATATAAGAATATTTAAGTTCTTCCCTGTAAGAGTGCCATGCAACCAAGCAGCAGTGAAAATATTGCCAATTTTAACAGGTGGAAGAAAGGGTATGAAAGAAGAAAAGGTATTTTAAATTAAATCCAACATTCAAGGGAAAGTCTCTGTTAATCCTTAATGATCTTACCATGCTTCTCCCCTAGGCTCTGTTCCTCAAACACAGTCCTATGTTCACATGGGGCACTTGTAAAATGACTCAAGTCTGCAAGTTCACAGGTAACAACGTGGACTCAGCCTTTTGATTTTTGTTCTGTAAATTGTAGCACTATAAGCCAAAGTACAGTAACTCTACCAGGAATTACATCAATGCATAGCACTCATGAACAACAGATGACAAATTCATCTCTTTACTTTAATGTCAAAAATACTTGCTTGTCACTCTCCTCACCAGTAATCTCTTCTACCACAGTTTTCACTTGCCATCTCTTCTGTTAAATTGCCATGAGGCAAAGCATTTTCTTCTGCATTTTCCATGTGGTAAAGCTTTTTGTTTCTGCTTTAAATACCTCAGACTTTCAACACAACATATATTTACTTAGTAACAAGAATATCAATGACAAATGCGGTTTCATAAGTGGTTGGAAACAGGCATAAAATTTCTTCTCTCTCACAGAAGCTAATAAGTTTAACAGAACATTGAAGTGGTTATACTACATAGAAGTGCAAGCAACAAAGTTAGGACAAAACACCTTGTTCAAACATGTTTTCTATTACTCAGAATCTCTAAAAATAAATAAATAAAACAGCGTAAGTTAATATTAGTTAATATTAATTGTAGAGTAAGAAATATGTAACCGTCATAAATCAGCCACTGTGAGCAAGCCACATGGTGGTGGGATGCAGAAGCATCTGGAGAATTAGCTACATGACTTGAAAGAAGCAGAGCCAAGAAATAATTACCTGATGTTTTCCAGAAATGCACTGAGGAACATGACCATCACATACATTAATTGCAATTAGTATGTCCCAGAAAAATTACCTGAGAGAAAGGAATAAACATTTTCTTAGGAGTCACTGGCATGCCTTCTTCCTTGTAAAACAAGTTAAGTTTGCTAATCCTGTTGAACAGAAGAAATGTGAATAAAGAGGCTACAGAAAGTAATTATTTTCCAGGAGAACAATCTGCTACAGCATCAAGGAATGAGTCATGTAAGCAGCTCATTCAAGTCTGAAAATGTTTTAGAGGCTTGGCAGTACGGAAACATTTTGGGGAAGCAGATGAGTTACCTGCAATCACACAGAAATTGCTAGAGAGAAGCAGAAGGCTTCTCCCCAGAGATAGGTTTAGCCACTCTTGTCTTCAATCTTTTCTGACACTGAGAAATTGATAACTTTGGTAGAAAAGCTACTCTTTGAAATTAAAAGATGAATTCATCAAACGTGAATGTTGAATAGGGAAACAGGAAGTCAGTGCTATTATCATCCAATATAGAATCATAGAATGGTTTGAGTTGGAAGAGTCCTTTATAAGTCATCTGATATAACTCCCCTAACATGAATAGGGACACCTACAGTTAGATCAGGATGCTCAGAGCCCTGTCCAGCCTGATACTGAGCGTCTCCAAGGACAGGGCATCCAGCACCTCTCTGGGCAACCTGTGCCAGTGCCTCACCACCCTTAACATAAAAATCTTCATCTTTATATCCAGTCTAAATCCTCCCTTCTTTTAGTTTGAAATCATTTCCACTTGTCCTGCATGTCCCCTTCTTTATTCTAGCCCCACTTTTGATACTGAAAGGCCGCTCTCAAGTCTCCCTGGAGCCTTCCCTTCTCCAGCTGCACAGCCCCAGCTCTCTCAGCCTAACTTTGCAGGGGAGCTTTTTCCATCCTTCGGATCACTTTCGTGGCCCAATTCTGGATGTGCTCCAGCAGGTCCACATCTCACCTCTACTGAGTACTCTTCATTTGGGCACAGTACACCAGGTGAGATCTCTTCTGCTTTGTCACAGGGTTCCACTTTTTGCTTTGGCTTCTTTAACTTCTTTTTCAGAAGTTAGGTTATCCTGGAGGTTGTTTTTCCAAGAAAAAGATGCAGCAAGTGGTAGCCAAACTAACAAAAGGAACAATCCTGTTTGGGGTTTTTAAGTGGTTTGAATAACTTCTTTATAGAAATGGGTCTATGTTTTTAATTTTTTTAAATTTATTTATTTTCCTTTTTTTTTTTTAAAGAGTTTTAACTCTTGAAGTTAATTCATTAAAAGAACCAGTCTCTGGCAGATGAGGAAGAAGTAAAGGCAAGCAAGTCACTTTTGTGCCTGTGAAGAATACATAAGCATTTTATTCCAAGAAACCCCAAGGAAGGAAAACCCGTGGGTTTTTTTGTTTGTTTTTTTTGTTTGTTTAGTTTTAGAGATCTATTATCTTATAGAAAAGAGTGTGATTCTTTTTTGTGGTCCTACCCATACATTTGAAAGACTGAAACTGATAGTTCTGCCTGAGATTTGTCTTTTTTTTTTTTTCACAAAATTAAAATACTGAAAAATATTGAAGTCCCTTGAAGCAGAAGCATAACAAGTACCTCTAACCCATTTGATTCTCCTTGTATTCTCCAGCTGCTACATACTCCATCAAGGTCATCTTTTTCTTGGTTAAGCAGTATCTAATGGCATTTGTGCACATGTTCAAGTAGTTTCTCTTCAAACAGGCTTCAAAATACAGTTTCTTCCTTTGGATCACTACATTCAATGATGCATTACAGTTTTGCAACAAGGAAAAGAAACAGGGACAGGTACCAAGTCCTCTTGCCACCCAATATAGTGCAGAAAAAAATCTGCCTATATAAATACAACATGGATGCTGACTGGTTGGTGCTTGCTTACCCTAATGAGCTTAAAGTCTTACTCGTAGTGGACATCTGTCAAGACAGAAGTGAGGCACGCAAGTCCTCTTAATCCATTAGCTCTAAATCCAGCAGAGCTTTCACACACCTTTTTTTTTTTTTTTTTTTTTTTTTTTTTGTATCAAAGAAGAAAACCTGTGTGGAAACATACAGAACATACAGTGGGACAATGCACGACTGCAAGACCAGATCCTGGACAGTGAGCATATGAGATTTCAAGGCAAACTACATCAAGAACTATCAACAAAACTGTGATGGAAAACTTGTGAGAAAAGGCCAGTCTACAGCTCGGGATGAGACAGTGAGTTTGATTCTTTGTTGTATTTTCTATAGTTATCTAGATTTTTAAATCAAAAATACAGCCAAAGACGAAGAAAAGATGGGCTGCACACCATCTCACAGTGAGATTGTCAATACTCTTGCAAGAAGTGGCCTCAAGGCTTTGAATAAGCCCAAAGGTGTTTTGCATATTGATCCAACAGATAAAGGAATTCCGCTGCTAGTTAAAGGTTCATCTTGCTACAGTTTTGATGAACTTCACCAATATGGGGTCCAGAGGAATGAATGCCTGATAGAAACCAAGGAGAAAACATCTGAGCGGGATAAGAGTGATCGTTTGCAGTGTTCTTCCAACTCTCATCCAAGGGTCCCCATTTCCAGGGAAGACAAAGTAATTGAGAGGACAGCCACAGAGGCTGAAGTTATATCCAAACTGATTGAATCTCAAAAACACATCACTGAGGCTATACAGATCAGAAAGCAAAGCTCCTGTGAATCGGAAGCATCAGTGTTCATTTTGGATAATAAGAATGAAAGCAATGCAAAGCAAATCCTAAAGAAAGGGAAGAAGCCAAAGAATCAGAAGTCAGCAAAACAAGGTCGACTCAGCAAAACTAAAGAAAAGTCCATTTTGTCCCCGTGTGAGACAGAGGAAAAGGTGGATTTCCCAGAACTGCTTGTTAAGGCTCATCAGAGTGCATATGCTTACTTAAATCCCAATCTTTCCAAGTATGAAGCAATACTTCATATGGCTGATCAGGCTGCCCAAACTCAGCTCTTCCTACAACAGATGGTAAGCTTCCTCGTGCTTCGCTTTGATGAAATCAACCAGCTCTTGGAAGAAATTGCTAATGATGGGGAAAATCTTCTCAAAAACGTGGGGGGGAATCTGGCATGGCCATCAGAAAAAGGTGATTTGAAGGAGCACCCTGATCTTCTGCAACAACTACTGCAATACACAATCAATAAAATGCAGTTACTGAATGGAACGCTAGCCTCTCTCACCTCCGATGCCCTGCAGGAGACATGCAACTACCTGCAGACCGCTGCAACCAACTTGGAAGGAAAACTGAAGGCAAAGCAAATGTTTGATGAGCGCCTGCTTCAGACAGTAAGGCTGCTTGAAGCCTCAACCATAGGGAACCTTCAGTTCCACGGTGATGACAGGACTCTCTGTTCTGAGGACAGTGGCATTGGTGTGGACAATGAATCCCTCAAAGACTTCAGTCCTTTCAGCCATCTTGGAGCACAAGCAAGCTTTGATTCCTCTGCACATGGTGTTCTGTCCCAGAAGCACAGCAGAATGATGGAGCATATCCACAGTGGGACAAGGCCACCAGGCACAGCCACATCTCATAACTCCACACTTGAAATGCATTTTAAAGATGTGCTTCATTCATCTGTACAGAGTAGAGAAGGAACTACTTGTCAGGGAGGAATACCGGAAGGTATTTCCACCATGGCACAAGATGCAAGCTTGAGTAAAAGCCACTCCTGTAACTCCTTCCAGTCTGACTCTACTCAAGAACATGAACGTTTCCAAGTTGGTGAATCAATAGATTTTCCTTCAGATGATGATGATGAAGGGAGCACCTTGGAGGAGGATGACGACAACACAAGTTTATCAGAAATGGGGAAGGATGCCCTGCCAAAGAGGCCCCAGTCTTCACCTGCAGTCACTGATAACACAAAAAGGCAGTCTATCAAAAGGACAGAAAATGCAGAAGCAGAGGAAATGATTCTGAAGATGAAAGATGCCATCAGTGAAAAAATCAAATTTGTCCCAGCTAAGTCTAGGCGTAAAGAGTGGATGGAGGATGAGAGTGGAACTGCCATCTTAACAGCAAGGCCCAGTACAGCAACAGGCAGACAGAAAACCTATGGTAAACACCGACGATCCCGGTCAGAGGAGTCCCTCAGAAGCCAGGCAGAGGACCCAACCCTCCTAGAGCTTCAGAGAACTCAAAAGGAGCTCAGCAAAAGGCTAGAAATGTTTTACGGAAAGAAGGAGACAGATAACACCAAAGAGCCTAGGAAACTGAGAACAACACGTTACTTGCAGGATGAGCAAGTTACTTCTAGGTCTTCTAGCAAACTGAAGGCATGCCTCTCAAAAAATTTCAGCATCCTGCCTAACCAGGATAAAGTCCCTTCGTACATAGTTGATCAAAATCCTGCCCATCAGCTGGATGAAAAAAGAGACAAGAAGCCTTTGAAAGCTACTATGCCCACCCAGGAGACGTCATCAGGGAATGAAGAAAACAAGCCTTCTGGAACTCAAACGCTCAGTGGCAGCAGTTGTGCCCCCCGCCAGTCTGTCAAAAAGCTCATTGAAACATTCAGTCCCACTGATGAGTTTGGAAAAGCCACACCTTTGAAATCTTTAGGACCAGTAAAATGTGTCAGAAAGTTTGGACTTCCAGTCATCCCACCCACTGTTCCCTTTCAGAGAGGCCTAATGCCTTTGAATGTTAAACATCGCATTTCGCCAGTAGAAGGCACAAACCTTTCAAACAACAGTGGAGTTTGTTCTAACTTTCCAAATGCCTTTCCTCCTATACCAGCAGCAGCAGAATTAAGCAAGGACACAAAGGAAGAGACAGATGAAGATATTGAGAACTTGCCACCGCCACCCCCTGAAATGCTCATAGACAGTACTTTTGACTCCTGTGAGATGGAAGAAACTGCAAGAATAGAAGGAAGCTCATCAGAAGATGCCAAAAAGCCTGCCAAAACAGAATTTCAAGCTACTAAGAGAACACAAGTCTCCCCAAAAATGAGGGCCTCTCTTCAGTTCATTGACTTATTACCAAGCAAAAATATCAATGGCCCCAATGTGGCTGCTAACAAAGTTCTAAGGAACAGTGAACCAAGGGATGATAAACTGCAGATATATTCTCTGGAGTTGAACCCTACCAATGTGCACATCCCTAGTCAGGAAGAGATATTAGCGACCCAGAGAAAAGAGGCTGCAGATTTGTACAAGCAAACGCATAAAATTATTCCTCTTCAAAATCCCAGCGGGGTTTCAAAACCACACAGCAACAGCTCAGAGAGCATGGAGGCCAATTCACCCACAACTTCAGTGCCGCACCAGAAGCACAGCTCTCCTGACTCTCTCAGGAGAAACGAAAAAGGCTCAGCGTTCTCCAGGAGGGTGTCCCCAGCGAGAACCCCTCCTTCTTCTCCACCAACTGAGAAACGGCTTTTCAGCCCTCCAACACATCATAGACACTCTCTGCAAGCTTTTAGCAGCCCCCAGCCCAGCTCGCCCACCATGCAGAGGAAACCCAGCCCCCCTGCCAGCCCCAGAGCACCCAGCCCTCCCTCACAGAAGAAGCTGCCCTCTCCACCGGCCCAGCGCAAACTGCTCAGCCCTCCTGCAGAGCATAAGCAAAGCTCATCAAGCCCACACCGGCCACCAGGCCCCCCAGCATACCGCCGTGACACAGCCCCTGCTCCATTTCCCATCACCCCATCCCCACCAACCTCCCCATCTCGCTCCTACAGAGGATCAAGAGCAGGTCTGGATGCCGGGGATGAGCCCCAGCCTTCCTCCACCAAAAAGGGCAGCAACGTGCATTCAATATTTTGCCCAGCCACCTCTTCCTTATTTGAAGCAAGACCTCCACCAGCACCCAGCAAACCCTCAGAGGAGGTCACGGGTCAGCCTGAAGCTTCAAAACCTTCCCAAAAGAGCAGTCTGCTTTTCCAGCAGCTGGGAGCTCGAACCAGAAAGCTGTCCCTGAGCGCTGCCAATCCTCAGCCATTTGTGAAGAGAAGTTTCTCCGACCGTCGACCAGGGGTCCGGTTCTTCCTTCCAGCTCCTGTGTCAGCTGCCAGTGAACCCGCTCTTAACCAAGCAAGGTAAGAATCTTTCAATTTTACATCAGGACAGTAGAAATATTGTATTGTGTTGGCTCTATAAACTCCTGATGGGAATTTATTGTCTTTAAGAGATTCCTCAGAAAAGTTCTCTGTTCCTATATGTGACAGATGGCTGGGGAAAGACAACATCATCTTGCCCCAGATTTCTATAGACGCCTGTCAGAGTAAAGGGAACAGCTAACCTTGCACAGCTTGCTCAGGCATTACACTGCAACCAGAGAAAGTTCAGTGTTGGGTTCGTGGTATTGAATTTCCCTTATTCGCTTGGGGACTAAGAACATCCACATTCAATTCTTAAAAGCTATGGAATAGCCCTCAGGTGATAAACGTCTTTAAATAACTGTGAGAAAATAGGCTGGGGTGTCTTAACTAGCATCAGCTTCTAAGCCAGTAAACTGCTCAACAGAAATCTATGTTAAAATATTTCAAATCAACTGGCAAGAATAATGTGCAGATGTAAACATCTGTATGACTATAATTATAGCCGAAACTTAGAGCTTGTTGTGTAGGCTTTCAGATCGAGGCACTAATGCCAAGTCTGGTGGTTCCAGAGATCAAATTCAGTTTTCAAAGTGGAGAAATTTCACATGGCTTTCAGGGATTCACTGTTATGAAAGCATTAGATACAAGAAATTCCATCTTTGCAACCACTGGTGGACATTTTTGAAATACCTGGGCTTGACTTTAAATTTTCTCTATCAGTTAAAAAGAAAAGCAAATAAGCTATAAAATACATGTGAGTATTTGGGAATAGTTAAAGATCAGGGTAGCTGTCTGGAAGTACAAAATGTTGTTATTCTAGTTTCTTAGCATCTTAGGATGTTTTAGCCCATTAAGCTTTAAGCTACACAAGAGGATTAAGACCCTTCCCAGGCAGGCTTTCCTCACATGAGGAATATTTTTACTCTTGCTGCAGAAGAGCTAAAATCACACAGATTGTCCCCATGAGTAGAGCTTGCAAGATCAAGCCCAACTGGAAATAAAATTGCACTTACAAATGCACAAACATACCCTGCACTGAGTGCAGAGACACTTAACTATACTGAAATCAAGTGTACAGGCATTCTCTTCCCAAAGACAGGACAAGAACCACACTCACAGTAGAGGAATTAGCTAAACAAAAGGAGCGAAAGCTGCTAGGAGACAGTTTTGCATTCTGGATTCTAATTTTGTGTTACATTCTGACATTTGAAGATCATCTGAAAGTTGTCTACATTGCTGTTGGGATTTCTGCTGTTATGCGTGGTGTGAAGCCAGCTTTGTCTACTCCAGTGCCCACTAGAATTAATTAATGTTTTTCCAAGGCAGCTTTGTATCAAATATTTTAAGACAGAAGTCCTGGGAGTTTTATGGCTCAATTTTAAGAACAGTCTACTATAAATTGTTAAATAATTCATGCCTCAATGGTGTGTGTTATCTCTCTATTGTAGTCTGTCACAACGCAGACAGTAGTATGAAGAAAAACCACTGTAAATAAAATCATCCCCCCATCATGAAAAATATGGTATCTAATGTTATTGATATACATCATTTCTAGTCATTTTAGAATAAATATATCCTGAGCCAAATTCAACTTATCACTTATATAAACAGAGATCAAACGTTGTCCTATTGAGTCAGCTCAAATTTATATCACTGTAAACAGAAGGGAAACTGAGCCCATTCATTACCATGTACTCTGACTCAAGATTCAATATGCTATTGTTTGCTTTCTTACAGTTAAAATAAGCTGCCTAGAATTGACTTTTACAGACCTTGCTTTGGCGTAATACAGATATCACAGCAAACGTGCTGATGGGCAGAGAAGGGCTATTTTAGGAAGCAGCACATAGCAGAAGCTCTGAGAGCCCCTCACATCACTGCTGCCTGTCTCTTCACTGAGCTCTGAGCAGCTGCCACAGCTGTGAGCACCTCACACCATGTGCAGATGCTGATCCTTGCTGTTATAGCAGATGCCACTCCAGAATAACCACCACACTGATCCATATTTCTCCTTCCAGTTTTTAAGCCATGCAAGGCTTCCTCTGCTTTGCAATTCACTCTGCTAACAAAGGACAATTTCAAAAAACATCTCCCTCAAACATGTTATATTCCTAAAACTCTTCATTCTGACAGCGTTTGCATCTGGTCTCAAATCGCATGCTATTCCCACCTAACTCTCAGTGTCCTTTCCTTCCTTCCTTCCCTTGCTCTCCCTCTCCTCTTCAAGTTCAACAATGCTTCTGTGCATGCGAGTTTTTGTAAGTTCTATGAGCATTTTCATTCCTTATTTACAGGAGGGAGGGGAGACAGGCAAAGCTGCAGGGGCATCACACTTGCATAGGTAAAGAAGTTTGAAAATTGGCAGTGTAGCCAGTTTCTCCCATGCTTGTGCAGACTCCGTTTTTCCATTTCCAGATATATCACTCAATTTTCCATGCCCAAGTAAAACATCCAATTTCTGGGAAAATACTAAATATAATCTGCCAGGAGCTTGTATGAACAACACATTTCAGTGAGTCATCAGGCAGCCCTTTCTCACCTACCCCATTTTAACAGCAACAACAGAAGCAGCAGCAGCTTCCATTCAGCTGCATTGCCAGGCACTAGATATCACTGCTACACACAGATTTGCATCTGCCACATGCTCACTGCTCCTCTAGAAGGCAAGAAGTGCTTCTTTTCCACGTATGTCTGCTGCCCATCCTGTGCTATAAGAAATACCAGGACTTAACACATCATTAGCCTTAAAAAATTATAGCTTTTGTACTTAGTATTAGAGTATCTGGACTATACTTTCAGTTTCAGATTTCAGTTTCTATGTTAAGCAACTACTAGTCGAACAAATCAAGTAGAACATGAGTTCCTGTTTGAACTGACTGTGGATGGATTGAAGTGAGCTAACTTTGCTGGTTCCTATGCTTGGTTATTTGACAATGATCAACAGTTATTGGTATATTATCAAGGCATAACATTTACGATTGTTCTGCTTATAGAAATCCTGTTAACCTGTATTACACAAAACTCAAATGCAGTTAAAATAATATTTCATTGAGACTGCTAATCTTCCAAGTGGTAGACCAGAAATGGAAGAAATGCTATTGCCATTAAGATATTGTTCAAGAAAGTCTTGGCAAGGGACTTCATTCATTGAACCAGGCCCAAAGCAAGTATCCGAGTGCAACTTCTGCATTTGGGGGTCATCTGAAGCTGGATTAGTTTTGTGACTGGAAATCTATCACAAAGCTCTTTCATCTAGCCTTTCAAATCCCTGTAGTTCTAGCAGATAGAATAGGAAGGTAAAGCTTGCCTACAGTCAAAAGTGAATTCAGTTTATCAGTTCTTGTGCTTAAAATACAATAATGATTTTGGATAACTCTGGGGTATTTCCTTATGCTTAGCTTAAACTCTTAATTAGCTAAAGCAAGATGGAACAAATCTCAGCATGAAGGCCTGCAGACTGAGATATCCATGACTAGCTCTTTTGCAATAGTCACTCTTGATTCACAAAGTCTCTGTGCCTCTAGAGATTGCTTCTTTGATGTCAAGAACATCACTTGTACTCTGTCTCAGTTTTCCTGTTTGTAAAGGGGCAGATTTATGCCACCAGATCACATAGCATGGCAACAGGATGGCATCCTCAGAAGTCGCTGTAACCATGCAGGTGTATAACAGAGGTAAGACCTTTTGTCCAGCAGAGTCTGAGTTTGGAAGAAGACTTCTCACTCAAATTAGTCTCCATCTGCAAGTGAATCTAGATTCATACTGATTCCCTGTTAAACATTTTAAACGTTTACTTTCCAAGGAAGTTTTGGAAGGGGAGAGAGAGCACAGTGTGTTTGGCATCACAGAAGAGGGAATGTCTGTAGAGCATATGCAGAAAGCATGTACACAAAAGGAGATAGGCAGTTACGTAGTACTGTGCAGCATTTGTGCCTCGTGAGTTAACATGGCCTAATCAGTGTTGTTTTGAAGAATAACAATTCATTAGCCTCTTAACTTGAGCATCTTTTCTTCTGCAGCATGGATGAGAGCCCTAGAAAAGCAGGCGACTCTTGGAGCAACCCTTGTGCCCCTGAAATCAAAGAGTCCAACAGATCTGCTTCCCACCCGGAGCTCTACATCGTGGGCCAGAGGCTGCAGAGGGACTGACCGCAGAGGTATGAGCAAGGCCTGAGGTCTGCAGGAGGGAACAGCCTTACCCAAGCCTCCAAAATGCTGCTCCGTTATTTTTAATCACAAGGAAACAATATGATGGCATTGCATCTGAAAACCCAAACCTCTTGACCTCCAGAGGAAATACCAGAGTGGTAACCAGCTGCTTCTCCTTCTGGTTGCAATTCAAAGGTTTGCTTTCAGCAACAGAAATGCTTGCCAGTTCTGCAAGTCTGAGGCAAACCAATTCAGTATTTTCATTCCCCTGGGTTTGCTCAGCGCAGAGCAGAGGAGCTGAGCAGGGGCCTCATGGCAGCTGCAGCTCCTGACAGGGAGCGGAGGGCAGCGCAGAGCTCTGCTCTGTGTGACAGCTAAAGGGACGGAACAGTCGAGAACCAACTGAATTCTACTGCAAAATACAAATGGCTTCAGCAAAGTCACAACTTCACACTAGGTTATTTATGAACACTTACATGGAGAGAAAAAGGCCAAATACAAGTTAAAGCAAAAAATAACCCTTTTTATTTCCAAGGGATATTAGCAATGTTATTTCCTCAAAAAGACTTTGATCTTCTAAAGCATCTTTGATTACCCTGTAATCTCATCATCTCTAGTTCTCAGGATACAAGGCTTAATCCTGATTAGAGTAGTTTTGTAACAGCCTAATCAAACATCCTGAGGCACTTAAGGACATGTTAAAAAAAAAAGAAAAAAGAAAAGCGAGAATCCTGTTCCCTCAGAAAGAGGTTGATATTCCAGTTGACACAGTTTGAATGGATTTGCTGTGACTTCTAGGCAGGTTCTTGCTAATGAAAACACGAGGTACCGACATCTGGTTAATCACAGGCTGGTATAGCACCCACTAAAATACTTCCATAATTTACTGGATTTTACTCAAAGAACTAGTTTGTCATCAGAATTAAGATGTAACTTTTTAATTTACCTAATTTGACTTGATTTTATATGCTACTTCAGGGACAGAAAAAGATCCAGAAAAAGACCCATTTCTAGTCCTGCTTTGGTGGGAATAGCTTTAGTTTTTCCTACAGCTTTCATGATGAACGCTTCATCTACGTACAGAATTTTTAACCCTTTCCCTTTTTAACCACCTTCATGATGGGGGAATTAAGGCTTGCCTTAAGCTGTACAAGGGACCCCTTTGTCTACTGAACACCTCTGAGTTTTACTACAGTGCCTTCATCACAACCATCCATCTTCAATAAACTCAGTGCCATTTTATACCACATAAAAGGAAACCTTAACTGTAGTATTTAAGATGAAGTATTACAAAGAAATAACTCATAGCATATCAATGCTTTGGATCATCAGGGGTTTGTGAGCTTGAGGTGACAAAAGTAGCTGTACCCAAGGTGTACATGTAGGAGATGTCAACAGACCCACATTGTGATCACACAGAGAGATACATCATTCCCTATTAAACAGCAAAATCAACAAGGAGATACTGCAAGGCTCCTCAGCAAAGCAAATTCTGCAGGTCAGTTTTCCCCCTCATCAGAAGTTTTGTCTACTCCCACTGCATTAAAATTAGACATTTTGTATGCATTTTGGATTTGTCTATTCTGGTGTCATTAGCTGTCAGAACAGAAATAAACCAGAAACACGACAACGGAAATCTGGCACTTTGCATGCCTAAATGTAGCTTTGAAGATGAAAATGCAAGAGTGGGGGCGCAACTTGTGCTCAGTTGCTGCAATCATTTCAGCCCTTCATGTCTTAATGCTGAAATGTCTCAGCATCCACAATGGATGATAATTGAAAGTGTATATTTATGCCCCCTGAGCAGCAAATTCTTCTGTAGAGTAAGAGCTACAGCAGCACATAGAGAAACACTACAGCGATCAAGCTGAAACCTGCTCACACCTGTGCTGGCTGGACATGAATTCAGCCAAGCCACTTTCCCCTGATTAAAATAAGGCTCTCTTGAAGACATGTCACATAAACCATCATCCCAGTACAGCATCTGTTCCAGTTTTGGGTAAGATCATGTCATCAGTACGCTCATCGCAACCATAGTCCCACCTGAACACTGCAGCTGTTGGGGGATTCTAGCGTTGCCCTAAGGACGTTTGTTGCAGCAAACTGAGCGTTATATTCAAGAAACAGAGCTTCTCCAGTGGTGATCTACAAATATCTGTATCATGAACTCATGACTACGTATAACTAGAAGGTTCTCTTCAGTGCAGGACCCTTGCAATGAGGTGTTAAACTTCAGCTCGTATTGCAAGTATGAAGTTGAGAGTAACTAGTACATAGAAAACAACAGCATGACCGATCACTTTTTAAAGAAGTGTTATTGTTTGTTTGTTTGTTGTTGCATTACAGATTTTTTTAATATCATTTCCATTTTTCCTAAATTCAATGTTTCTGAAATACAGTTGTTATTAAGACCATACTCAATTTCAAGATGTATTTTTTACTGATGTAAATAAATCAGTTTTATACACAGGTTATGAGTTTGTGCCTTACATTCTGTCTGAAGTTAGCACAGTCCTCAATGTTATGCCATTGATTCCTTACTTGGTGCACTAATGAGTGCCCTCTGCCATAAAAAGTCCTTTTGCTTCATTCCTTCCCACCCAAATACAAGTTTGTCTTGTTTTGTGTTCCACTGGTATATCAGATAAAACAGATTATATTTTCATTCTGCAAATACGTATTTTTGGGCTACAAAGTCCAGCCTGGACACCAACAGACCAGAACAGAGGTCAGCTGTGCTTCCACCTTTTCCTCTTCTAATTTAGCTTGAACTACCTGGCAATTCAGAGCTCTCCCTTCAGAGCTTCTACATAAAACCACAGCAAATCCAAGGTAAGGGTTAAAGCCATAGCACACCTGTTGCACTGCAGTCTCATGCAGAAGGGCCGAGCACATAGTAAAGCAGTATCAGTTTCCCAGCCAGGACTTCATAGCTGCAAAACTAGCAGCTAACAGCTCTATGCTATGCTTCATCTGCAGACCTTTGACAAGCTGACAGCTGCCTTTGCTTCCAGGGAAACTACTCAAAGCTGAAGCCTTTAATGGACTCATCATTTCATACTCTCAGCATCTGCGGATGACCCAAAAGTACTATACACCTCCAGTTACCTTATTTGACTTCAAGACTTATCCCAGATATTAGCAACACATTTCATAATTATTTGTGAAGTCTTATTATTAAGATGAATATTCTGAGAATTTATACCTTTTAGCAGAAATCACAGTACAGAGATAAAATAACCTGTTCTTACTGCCACAGTTCATCACTGCAGAACTGGCAACACTTACTGAAGAGATACTCCTCTAGATTAACAAGTCATGAAACCTCCCACATCAGATAAACTTCAGAGTCATCATGACTGCACCATGCACATTGCAGGTATGAACTTCAAACTGAGATTTTGGTCTTGCTGTGCAAGAAGATACTTGGTTTATCTTCACAACAATACATTGGGTTATCTAAAAACCTAGCGCAAAGGTAGCAAGTCCTTCCCACTGCTCGCTTTGAATGAATAACAAAAATATTTGTCAAAAAAAAGAATGTCCAGATATGGTCAGTAAGTGCTCAGAGGAAGATCAATCAAGACCAGGATCACGTTATCTTTCTGATCCCTTTCCATTCATCTCATGTATGCCTGCCCTGCAGCTATCCTGTACCACCACTGCTTGCACCAGATCATCTGCAGCCTTCACAGGTTCAACTGCTGTCCCCTTCACTGATTTTCCAAATTTCAAAAAAACTCATCATATTCTTCCCTTTTTCTTTACCAGTACAAAATTCTGAGTGCATTAAGTAACCCTATGAGGATTTCTGGAGACGATCTAGAGTACACCCTTAAAAAACGTTATTTTAAAGGAGAAAGGCAATAAGCTTATCTTGCTCCATACAAATCCCTCCTGCTTCAATAAAGTTTTCCTTAAGGCATAGATGAGCTGATTATACAGCAATTAAAAAGAAACCAAAAGCTTTTGATGCTTCAAGATTGAGCCACTGGGTCCTTACTATATGAAAGAATCAAAGCTGAAGCTTAAGGATGCTAACAGAGACCCGTATTTCCCTACAGCATCACTGTAAAGCTATGACTTCCCAGACTTTCCACCACAAAGATAAGCCCCTAGGCCAAGATCACTCTAGAGATAAAACCTAAACCAAGAAATTCACTAGCTGCTCAGTTTTTAAAAGCAAGTTTGAGGCAATCTAGTAGTGCAATTTCCATCCTGCAACCTTACTTCCTCCTGAACCTTCTTAAACTGGGCTTAAATTTAATACCTCTTACTTTCTAACTGGAAATTAAGCCTGCCAGAGCAATATAATCACTTGTTTTTAAAAACTTTTCTCTCCACACTGTGAAGCTTTGTCTTTTTGAATGCAAATATAGTTAACGCATGGGCAATCAGGGCACAAGGCAACACATGTTTCTGGATTATTCCGGATACTGACATTTTTAAATCAATAGCCCAATATCCACATAGGTCCCTTTATTTTGTACTTCAGAGAGAACATATGCATGTACACGTGTGCATTTATCATCATAACAGCTACAGCATGGAAATGTGTTCTCCATATTGCAGTTTTCTCCTGTGGATAACCCAGGGAACACCAAGAGTGCCCTCCTGTCCCACAGATCTGCAGCCAAGCAGCCAGTAAGACACAGCAGTCTTGGTGGGCAGTTTCCTATTCCTGAGCCTTAGACAAATTTCATATCACAGCAATCCATATAGTCAACAGCAACTAGTAGGGAAGAGTCCTAGGGTGCAAAATAATGTAATCTAGAAAATACTATAGAAAATTTAAAAAATAATAGCATATTCTTCAAACTAAGAAACCTCCACTCTTCTACTTCTCCTAGAAACAGCAAAGAAACCACATGCTGCAAACTCTAAGCTCTGCTAGCCCTGACAAGGCAGAGATTTTCTATTTCTACAGCATTCTCTTATTCCCTTGACAGCCAAATAACTAGATTAGCTTTTACACAGAGGGACACAAAAAAAAAAAAAAA